AACAGTATACAAGTGCAGTCGCATTACTTTAAAATCTAACACATACTATATATCCCCCCCCCCCCCCCCACACCCCCCCCCCCCCCCCCCTCCCTCCCCCCCCACTTCCCAGAGCCCGTACACGGTATAGGTTTTTAACCTAAAAACCTAACTAAGGCTATTTTTTTTAAAGAGAAACATCTGCAGTGATTTTAAATCCAATAGATTTTAATCTTTGTGACATTTAATGGGATTGTTCAAAGGACCAACGACATGTTGGAAATAGTTGATGAAAGGTTCTAAAACACCAGTGGCCTTTCTACCGAATATGAGATATGATATTTAAAGAAATCCGGCTTCTTGGGAAAAAAAAATCCGGAAGACAAACTGCAAATCATCTCAAGTAAATTACAGAAATCCAATTGCCAGAGGATTTTTCTTGTGGGATTTGATAGAAAACCCATTTCCAGTTGGAACTAAAATGTGCCAAAAGGAAATGAGCAAAACTGCCATTTTGAGAAGATAAGGAAAGATCTGACTGGTTCTTTTATGTTTCTCCATTGTTAGGAATTGCCCGAAAATGAACTTCTGCATCCTCCACTAAGCATATGTGTGGTTGACTGGAGGGCCTTTGGCCGCAGCACACTCGTGGGGACCCACACCGTCAACTGCCTTAAGCAGTTTCTGCATAAACTCAAGGAACCTCTTGTTTCCTTAGCTAAAGAAGCTGATATTGTGGAAGTGGACAAAGGTAAGACATGCCAAAAGTCCGATTAGAATCCACCCTCCTTTCTTTTCATAGAGCTGTAAAGATGTAAGGCCTTGGAGACCACGCTGCTGTTGCTATATTAAGTGGAGCTGGTTGTTTTTGCGACATCTACTTTAGCAGGATTTATTGGTTAATCTCTCATTGTTAAATTCTAATGGTTGTTTGTTTTATATTGTTGAGCTGAGCAGCATGGAAGGGTAGTGGTGGTAGTGGCTTAGAGGTCTGATGAGGGTAGTCCTATAGCAGTGGTGGGATTCAGCCAGTTCACACCTATTCGGGAGAACCGGTTGTTAACTTTTTAAGCAGTTCGAAGAACCGGTTGTTGGAAAAAAATCTCCTTTTGTTTTTCCCCATTTTACAGAGCTAATCCTGTAAGGAAGGCAGGAAAGAAACATTCTGGTTTTATTTCTAGCCTAATCTTTATTGCCCTGCTTACAGAAACTGCCTCTCCCATTAACCCTTATTAGATTGTAACTGCTAAGGCGAAGCGCCCATTGACATGTGTGATGTTGAGTTGGCCATGGCCACCAGTCACATGACCACTGAGCCAGGCCCACCCAGCCGTTCATTAGGGCAGAGAACCGGTTGTTAAATTATTTGAATTCCACCACTGTCCTATACGTTAGGGGTGTCAAACTCGAGGCCTGCAGGCCAGATCTGGCCTATGGGGTCTGCCTAGAAATATCAAAGAACCAGCTGGTGGTGCCTCTTGTTGAATTTTATATATTGACTTCTTTCTAGCTTCACCTGCTCCAGCACAACCTCACATAAGTCAACTTCCATCACTTCCATCAGATCACATTTATGTTGATGTGGAACACGGAGAGCCTCATTTAGCCTTCCCCAAACCTGAAGCAGCAGAAGTACATATTCCCGTATCACCCCCGCTGCTACCACCAGCTCCTTCACGGAAACATTCATTAGCCTCTTCCTCTAGACCTTTGAAAGATGGAAGATTGAAAGTAAGTTACATCCAATTTGGAGCTTTTTGCATTTCCCACTAGACTATGCATTCCCTTCTTTATGATGAAACAAGGGGCAAAAAAATATACCAAGCTCAAAAAGACATCCATGTAGTCCTCAACTTATGACCGGAGTTGAGCCCTACATTTATGTTGCTAAGCCATGGTGGCATAGTGGTTAGAGTGCAGTACTGCAGGCTACTTCTGCTGACTGCTGGCTGATTGTAATTTGGTAGTTCATATCTCACCAGGCTCAAGGTTGACTCAGCTTTCCATCCTTCCGAGGTGGGTAAAATGAGGACCCAGATTGTTGGGGGCAATGCGCTGACTCTGTAAACCACTTAGAGAGGGCTGTAAAGCACTGTAAAATGATATATAAGTCTAAGTCAGCAACCTGGGCTCTGGAGCCGCATGTGGCTCTTTCATCTCTCTTCTGCGGCTCCCTTGTTGCTGGTCCGTGCCACAATTTTGAGAGGAGCTTCCGGTGGGTGGGTAGGAAGCACAGCGCTCCAGGAGGAGACTCTATGGCAAGGGGTGGGTTTTCTGGTCAGTTCCACAATTGATAGTTAGGACAGGTAGAGGAAGGACACCGCGCTAGGAGGAGACTCTATGGTGGGGGAACCGGACTTCTGGTCGGCTCCAGAACTGCATGAAGGGAATTCCGCTTAGGACCTTTCTGGCTTTTTGAGTATTTAAGGTTGCCGACCCCTGGTCTAAGTTCTATTGCTATTGGTAAGTGTAACAGTTAAATGAATTTTGACCCATTTGATGACCAGTCTTGCCATAGCTGTTAAGTGAAGCACTGCAGTTGTTAAGTTAATAACACAGTTGCTAATTGTTTGATGAGAACATAACAGGAGAGAAGTAAACATATACAGACAATCCATGTAATTACAAGTAGTCCTTAACCACAATTGAGCCCCAAATTTTTGTTGTTAATTGAAACATTTGTTAAGTAACTTTTGCCCCATTTCATGACCTTTTTGGTCACAGTTAATTAAGTGAATCAATGCAGTTGTTAAGTTAATAACACAGTTGCTAATTGTTTGATGAGAACATAACAGGAGAGAAGTAAACATATACAGACAATCCATGTAATTACAAGTAGTCCTTAACCACAATTGAGCCCCAAATTTTTGTTGTTAATTGAAACATTTGTTAAGTAACTTTTGCCCCATTTCATGACTTTTTTAAATTTCCATTGTTATGTGAATCATCACAGTTGATAAGTTAGTAACCCAATTGTTAAGTGAAACTGGCTTTCCCATTGACTTTGCTGGTCAGAAGGTTGCAAAAGGGGATCACATGACTTTGGGATGCAGTGATGGTCATAAATATGAACCAGTTGCCAAGCATCCGAATTTTAGTCTCATGATCATGGGGATGCTGCAAAGGTCATAACTGTGAAAAATGGTCGTAATTCACTTTTTTCAGTGGCTCTGTAACTTTGTATGGTCACTAAATGAACTGTTGTAAGTCAGGGACTACCTGTATATACAAAACCTCTAAGGGGGTATAGCAGTGGCCTGACAACTGGATGTCCAACTGGCATTGCTTCGTGCAAATTTTCTATGGAACCAGAGAACAAACCTTGTGGGCAATCTTTTACAATATGTTGAATAGCTTGCATATCAGTACCACAATCGCAACAAGGCAAATCTTTCCATCTCCACTGATACGGGGCGGAGGGACTTCTTTACACCGTATCACATCCGTAGCTTTCCTTAAGCTTCACATGCTCCCTGGGGGGTGCTTAACACGTGACAATGACCAGATGCAGGCCTATTGCCCTTATGAGCCTCGTGGCCATGACAAACAGAAATGCATAAAATCAAATAGACTATATCTATATGACTATGGAACTATAACGTCACATTATTATACCCTCAAGGCAATGGATAATGAAGCTATTGCTTATAGTTTGTTCCTTATAGGAACATAAACTAGGATGAGTAACCATGCTGAAAATTGTTATATAATTTAATGCTATAGCTTAGACAGGCCTGATTTGAAAAAAAAGCAAAACAGAAAGAGCACAAAAGAAAAGTGTGTGTGTGTGTAAAATATATAATATATATATATATATAAATAAGTATGTATGTATGTAAGTATGTATGTATGTATGTATATGTGTATCTATGTGTATGTGTCTGTCTGTCTATATATGTGTGTGGTATGTGTATATGTATATGTATGTATGTATATACAGTATACACACACACATATCATGTTTTTCCAAAAATAAGACCTCCCTGGATAATAAGCCCAATAGAACCACGTGTGGATAATAAGCGCATGCGTTACAATGAGCAGTCCCCCGAGAATAAGCCCTCCTCTAAAATATTTAACCACATATTTAGCCCTGTCCCCACCATTTACAATACAATACAATAGCAGAGTTGGAGGGAACCTTGGAGGTCTTCTAGTCCAACCCCCTGCCTAGGTAGGAAACTCTATACCATTTCAGACAAATGGCTATCCAACATCTTCTTAAAGACTTCCAGTGTTCACAACTTCTGGAGGCAAGCTTTTCCACTGATTAATTGTTCTAACTGTCAGGAAATTTCTCCTCAGTTCCTTTTTTTTTTTAAAGTTTGATTGTTTTAATTAAACAAAAATACAAAAAAAGAATCATCTTTCATTACATCTT